AAAAACATACAAGTACTAATTAAGATAAAATAGAAAAGATGCTTGGATAAGATTTGCAAAAATAAAAAAATCTTCAAAAATATTTGTGTTTTATTAAAATTAATTTATTAAAAAGAGATATAAATTTTTAAAAATTAATCTATTAAAAATATATATATAATGTACATATATGTAAGATATATATGTTTTTGGGTATTTAAGTGATCATTAAAAGTTTCCTCAGCTTCTCTTTTCTCAGACTATTTTATAAAATAAGGATCACATTACCGTGCAATATCTATTTTATGAGATTCTTAACAGCAAGAAAGCATGCACTTTTGTGCTTTTAAGTATAAATGACATGCAAGAAGATAAGTCTATTGTATTCATTGCTTGTAATAGTAGATAACATTATATACACGCAGACACAGGTAATGTTATGCTGTTAGTACTTTTTTACTCACTATCCAGTTATTAATTGCAGCTGTTTTAATGAGTTCAAACGATCCTGCGCGGTAACGCGAATAATTTTACCGTAAACGTAATGTAATTTTGTAATCTAGAGCGTAGCAGGAATGTTAAGGCAAGATTACTCACATCAAAAAATAAAATATTGTAAGAAAATAAAATACAAAATATTTACAAAATTACTATATATAAAAATATAAATATATTTCTGACATTTCTGTAAAATATTACAAGTAAATTTAAAAAAACTAATATCTTTTTCTACCAACGAATACTTTTTACAATACTTTCTTCTGACAAGATTATTATTTAGAAAATAAAGAAAATATAATTACTTTTAGAGAAAAATTAATAAAGTAAAATTTAGAAAGTAAAACTTGACATGTGTGATACGTTAGGTAAAGATTATCATGTATGTGTTATTATTATTCTCTTACATATAATAATTAGATAAATTACGTTGTATAAAGAACATAGAAGAGACGGCGAGGCCATTTATCTAACAATAGTGCTTTAGTTGCTCTAATGCCAACATAAATCACGATAGCCACTTTTGTGCCTCGTTTGACTATCACAGCTATTGTCGTTAGAGATTCCCAGGTTCGCTATGTACATATCGATTATAATAATCACATGTAATCATTTAATGTGCGAAACATCAGTTCTAGTAATACTATAATTTAACATTTTGCTTTAAAGAGCTTTCAGATTTACTGTTACTCTTTTAATTTTAATGATGAGTAAACAGCGAGTATAAAAACAAGAAATAAAATCGGAAGGATCAAAAGTGATTTCATAGTGATTTCCAAAATGGCAGTTCCATGCACACGTGTGCTAATATTACGAGTTTAATTGGACGTTTTTATATCATTATTACTGATAATGAGATTGTATAGCGATCAGAAAAAGGTCAGCCTCATTCGATATTTGCACTCCAAATAATTTGACAAAGATCCGAATAGACGTCGCATCATCTATTCGTCTATCCTTCCCGGTTGATTGGTGGAAATTCGAGTGCTCGAAGGACGCGAGTTGGATGCGTAGGCGAATATATGCGTGGGCTGTTTAACGTGTATGCGAGAGGGTAGATATGCGCGCTTCCCTGGAGCGGAATTCCGGTCGTGGCGAACTCATGGCGTATCGTCGGCGGCGCAGCGTTACGGCGCTGGCCTTTCGTAAACTCCTTTCCTAGCACAGAGACAGGACCTCTCTCTAGCAAAAGCGAGCGTTGTTCGATCGTGCGCGAAAATGACCGCAAAGATTTGTATGAGTTGTATATACGACTCATGTCACAGACGCTAGTCGCTAGTCTTCTGTGTAATGCGCGTAATACGCGAGATGAATTAATAATTTAGGGAAAAATAAGATAGAAAGTTTGGTGAACGAATGAAATAAATATAACATAATTTGTAAAATTTGGTTTAGGTGGCTTCACATTTAAAGTAAAATTTGTAAATTATAAACTTATTCGATCTTTTACTGAATTTGATTATTATATTGATATTTTTCAAGAAGTGAAAGGGTAGTAAACAAAAAAAAATATAAAAGAGTATAGAAAGAGAGTGAAAGATTGAAACGGTAAAAGAATAAAAGAGTATAAAAAAAGTTGAATCAATACTTTCCAATTTTATTTTGGTCAAAATTCTATTCTGTTTACTTTTTTTTCTAATAATTTTTTGATATATTGAAAAACTATATTGTACACAAGTCATATTGTACTCAAATAAAGAAATTAGATCTTATAAATTAAATAAATTTTTTAAATCTTACAGAATTTTGACAAAGACACGGAAAGTAGGCATCAATATATAATATAAAAATACTTACGTTGTCCGACGTGCAGCATGCAGCAAAGGAGCAGCAAGATGCTCAATACGTTTAGTCCCATGGCAATTCAAGATCATCGTCCACCGATTCTGTCGACTGATACATCTGTAAAAAAAAAAAAATTATGACAGGAGCGATAAGGAATAACGAGAGATTACACATCATGTTAGTGCAATTTCTGTGAGTTTCTTTTAATTTTTCATGGGTCATGGGAATGAAATTTTTCTGAAGATATTTTGATTTATTATATTCATGGAAATAGCACTTCCTGCATTCGAAATGTCTTATGCAACCTCTTCTCGGAATCATTATGAAGGTTTTATTACTTTTCGTCAAGGAATGTTTCATCTCGTAAAAAGATTATGTGTGAGATATTATGAACTATTTATCTTCGCAAAGATCCATAAATTTTTAATTAATTAAATTTTTTTTCAAATTATTTTGAAATCATACATATACTTTAATTTATTTTTAATAAAATTTTGTATATTATATATACAATTATTGCGATAGTTAATAAGTAAGTTGTTTTTCAGAATATATTCAAAATTTGCATAATTAATATCAATATTAATTTTTTAAATAGTGCAGCAGTATTTAATTAGATGTGACATAATGTCGCGAAAGTGCAAAAATTTTACATTATACATTGTAAGATTAATTTTGTCATCTTTTATTACATAATTCTTTCACTTATTTTTTCTTTTTTATATGTATTTAATAATTTCCTTCTCTCTCTCTCTTTCTTTCTCTTCGACTCTTCATTAATTAGAAAAATAATTATTCAATTTTATTAATTAATTCTGTTACTATGAAGCAAAATAATAGAATATTCAGAAACTGTATTTAATGAAAATTAAATTTTGTAAAAAATGTAATAATAATCAAAAGATAATCATACATGGAAACTTTAAATAAAACAAAATTTGTAAAATTAAAAGTCCACAAGTTAAAGTTTGAGATATTTATTCGGCTTTTAAATATTTCTCTCTTTCTCTTCCTTTCTCTTCCTCCGAGGCTTTTTAATATTAGTAGAGAAATAATATTAAAAATCATTTTTCAAAAATATTTTCTTAAAAAAAAGATAATGTTTTTCATATTGGTCTAATAAACAAAACAATGTAAAATCTTTCGACATTTGTTTCATCTCTCGATGAGATAACACTTGAACATGCCATTAAACGTAATAATTTAGTATTTGAGTAACGTGCAATCGAGTTTGTCATCGTGTTAGCAGACAAATGTAAGGACATGAACACTAAGCGAATGACCATCTCGTTCAACGACGAAATATGTCTGCAATACGAGCATAACGCGTGGTTAGAAAGCATGCAGAGAAACTCTTTTATTACGTGGAACTATGACTATGTAGGACTGCGCGTCTCATCAGGGCTAGGATGACTCGTGCGAATTATTGCTGGAGGTAGCTTTTAATACCTTGCACTCTCGCCTTTCGTGTAAATGGTATATTTCTTTTATGACGTCATGTTGGAAAATTGATGATCGCTTTGAACAAAATATTAAAGTTACAAGATTTCTTCTTAAAAATGAGTGGCAAGAATGGCAGTAGATTTCTTCAATTTGTTAATAGAGAAAGTACGATCATTTACTTTTACATTTTGCCATTCATAATATTTGGTGATGAATGGACAGATAGCAGAGACATTTTATTAGTTACAAATGTAAATGTAACATGATAATTTTAATTTTATCATGAAATAAAATATAATAAAGGTATTGGAAAAATAGAAGATGCAATATTGTTTTCCGACAAATTAATTTCATATAGAAAATAAGTTTAGTTAGTTAATTTATTTTACATTTAGATATTTATATTTTAAATACTATTTAGTTTTAAATAAATTTAATAATATTTAACTTTTAATAAATAATATAATGACACTCGATTTTAAACACAGTATAAATAATAAATTTTAAATAATATTTAAGTTGTTAATATTGTAATAATACAAAATGCTGTCTTAATATTATTAAAACAACAACTATTATTATAATATTATTCTTTTGTTTTTCTATATTATGATATTCATATTTATATTCACACAATAATGCAATAATTAAAATAAAAAGTACATTGAATTTATATGTTAATATTCATTAGTACTCTTATATCTGTGTGTCGTGTGTGTGATATCTGTATAGTATTCTATTTAAATTCATATTTACACGCTGATTTTACTCCTAAAATATTTTCTATTTTTATTTAAAATATTTTATATAATTTTTTGCTAACCCTGTTGAATTTTGTGGAATATTTTTCTATAACAGAATAGAAATAGTTGAAAGGGTGGTGAAAATATATATCGTATAATAGAGAAAAAAAGGGTAGAAAAATTTTCGCAACAGCGCCTGTAGACAAGGAAATTTATACGGAAAATATCAGCCGGATACGTCGGCTATATGGGGCGCAGTACTGCTTAAATTCACGAACCGTAAATTGAAACGCAATGCGATGGGCAACCGGCGTAAAGGCCTCCGGCCTCGGCTCCAACAGATAACTGTAATGATATAAAAATATCATTGGTCCCTGTATCACGGAAATTGATAATCCGGGCAACTTGAATCATTGAACAATTATTTTATTTTATCAGTTCATGATTAATTTGTTATTGCATTACGAAATTAACAAATGCAAAATTATGTGCATGTTTACTTTATTATGTTGTAATTATACTGAAGCAATGTTTAATTTAACACAATAATATTTAAATGTTTATTTAAATTTGTCACGATTTGTCACGATCGTGCTCAATCAGAATTACATTATATCTTGTGTTTGATTAAACTGTGTAATAAATATGAAAGCAAAAGTTATATAACATTTCTCACTTTCAAAAATGCATGTATTTGTTTTTTTATTTTTATCCTTGCTAAAAAAATGTTTGATTATTAAAAATTCTCCCTCTCTTTTAGAGAGAAAAAAAAATAGAATTCTGATGTCTATGTAAATAGTAATAAAAGTTTCATATTTAATATGCTCTCTTTCATCCTAAAATGTATTTCTATCAATACATGCGTGTATATATGTATTGTAATTAATTTTATAACAATATTAATTTTTATATTTTATAATTATTATTATTTGTATTTTATAATTATGATTTATCATTATAGTGAATTGTATTTTATTTAATTATTATTATAAATTATATATATTTTTAATTATTGTTAAACAAAATGTTTTTATTAAGTTTTTATTAAGTATTTTTATGTAAAACGGTTTTTTAAAATAAAATTAAATATTAGTAAGTGCAGATACTCACCACAAAATGTGCTCGAAAGAAGCGCGTTGCCCATATATCTACGTCAACGTCGTTTGCGAAGGCATCGGAGATCTCTTTCACAGCATTAATTCCTCATTAGTAATGTAAATTCTGCAGACTGCTGATCTTCTCTGATCCACCGTACATTTAGCCACCGCCCTTTATAACAAAGGGCTTACGAATTACACCCTCGGTAGACTTTATCGATCGCTATAAGCCAGACGGTCTTATAACTCACTTTTCTTCATGCACATAACAAAGCATGAGCATATATTTTCTGATTTTATTTTACAAATTGATCAATCCTTGTGTTTAATTCAAGCAAAAAATTCAATCTTTTTTATATCTTATAAATAAAACTTAGATTTTTACTTAAACTTCTGTTCACGATTTATGTACTTTTTAATCTTCACATCTTTACGACGATTCGATCTTGTTTGCAAGAGATTACTTACTTTTTACACTCGCGGAGTGGTTTTTTTTTATTTTTTGAATTATTTCCAAATCTCTCTTTTTTAGGAATTTATTTCAGAATTTATTTTATTTTAAATTTTATTGCATTTAGCTATTTTATCTTTTCGCTCCAGTTTTAATGTACACTATATACATCGCACTTTACACTCCGTGCACTATCGTGATCGACCTGGATCAAACTCGACTATGACTACCGCGCTGTAGGGCTGTAGAACTCTTTACTACAAAACGGAGCCGTCGTGCAAAGCGCCTGGAGTGGCAGTCGGCTCCCCATTGTCAGGAAGGGGGGACCGCGGCGACCAACAGAAACGTCCACTTGAACCACATCGCGAACAGGTGTTTGCTTTCATATATGATGGGGGAACGGGTGCGATGCATATGCGTGCGCTCCAACGAATGTGTACAACGAATGTGTAACTGACCCCTATCTTTGGGGCCCTTCGGAGATGCCTCGACCTTACCGGGGCAGAGACGGGAGCGCGAGGATTTCCGGTCTTTCCTCGAAGAAAACTTTCTCAACAGCGAAACTTAGCTGTTAAGATTAATACTATCAATGCTACATGAATAAGATAAAGCGATATAACAAAAATAAAATTAATATATATATATATATATATATATATATATATATAATAAATA